ATAAGAACTATACTTTCAGCCTATTGTAAAATTGTAATGTTTTTTTTTTTAAATGCCACCTTAAGCTGAATGTTGTTAACTCTCTATAGGCGGGTACTCTTAAGGGTTGCTCTTCATAAGCAGACACTCGTGTGTCCCTACACCTGTTGATAAAGATCAGAGTCCATTATTTTGGGTGGCCCTTGGGTGTAAAAAAGAGTATTTCAAAAAAGGTAAATATGAAGTGTAATTTTGATGATGATGCAGTTGGGTCCAAAATAAAGGAGGGGGCTCGAGCAGCCAGTTGTTTATGATGCGTTTACGACACATCAACCAGGACACGCACACGTGATGGAGAAAGGTGGGCGAAAGCACGACGAGATCGTTAATGGCGCCCAACGTGAGGCTCGCATGGTAATCGTAAAACAGACACGCGCACCCCCTTTTCTCCACCCAACCTCCCCCCTCCGCCTCTGGCGTGTGATAGTGGTGTGGAACAATAACAGCAACACGAAACACGCAAAACAAACGAATGTAAACAACAAGAGATTTTTCTACAATGTTTTTTTTTTCCCGCACATTTTTCGGCTCAGCTTTCACCAAAGTCCCGATTTTCTTCTTCTTCTTTTGTTTTTTTCGTTGGTCGCAGAGCATAAAAATCAAAAAAAAAAAAAAATAAAAATAAATAAAGAACAGAGGAAAAAAGTGAATTTATTTTATACGTTCACTGCTCGTAAAAATCAATGAAAACATTTGTCAGGACAAGCTTTTCTGGCTTGATGGCCCACCTTGCCAATCTGGCAGAGGTATAGAGGTATGGGGCTACTGGGATCGGGGGTAGAAGTTGTTCCAATGAAATGCCTGCGAAAAGTTTTCCCGAGCCAAGTTTCGTATGAAATTTGTAGCCACTGGAACCGGAGGGAAAAATAAGAGGAGCCAGAAGCGGGGAACTATAAAACTTGAAGTTTGAGTTTCTTTGAAACTGTTTTCATTTCTTTATTTATTTTCGCTCTCCTTCGTCTGCCTTCGTTCTATAGGTGGAAAGGAATGTGTTTGATGCAAGCCAAGTTAATTGGATTAACACTGAGGCTCGCACACACACACACACACACACGCACACACACGCAAGCACACACACCCAGTGTTGCGAAATTCGATTTATGGTCAAAATGATTTAATTGCCAAACATGCTCAAAAAAGTGAAGACGAAGAAGCTGCAAAGGAAATTTTTCTATTTTTTCTTTTTACAGTTATTGTTTGGCTTTTGCAGTTTGGTAATGGAAGTTCAAAGTGGGATAAGGAAATTGCAAAGGGAGATGTGTCGACAAATGGATCTTGGGCTGGAAAACTTTGTAACGCACTCAAAAACTCATTTCAAGTGCGAACTGTCTCGTTGAACCATCAGTTGATGGCAAGGGTTTTTGGGGTTTTGAGTTTTATCAAATTAAGTTTCAAAGAAATAGACTTGAAGTAATCGACAGTGAACTATTTCAAACGCTTCCATATATTTTTGTTTAATATTTTAATTTGTTGGTTGCAATCAAGAATAATGCCCACTCAAAATGTTTTTGTTTTTAAAGCGAATCGAACTCGAAATTTTAATTTACCTTAAGTGAAAAGTTGTTCTTGGCCAAATTTGCGTAATTAAAATGTGTTTCCTGACTGAAGTTCACTTGAAGACATGTACCAACTCTCCTCGAAACCCATCTGCAGGCTTCCATTACATTCCAACCCCACCATGCCGTGTAATTTGGCCATCCCCCTCCCCTCCGGCCACAGAAAAAACTCATTTCGTGTAATTAATTAAAGTGACCCCAGGAAAGGTCAACAACAAAGCGGGCAAAAAGGTACAATACTCGTACTGCTGCTTACTTTGCGACTACTTCTGACACGGCTCAAGTGCATCAAAGTCGGAGGACCATTCGGGTCTGTCTGGTAATTTGATCAACTCACTACGCCCCTGACCGCCCTACCATGTTGCCCCTGCCTTTTGCCTTTTTGTTTTAAGGACATAACACATTTTTCCACATTGCTGAGCTCTTCGTCGAGCGGTCGAAGGTGGGCCAGCTAATAATTTAGTTAAGTTAAGGGACTAAGTCAGGTACGGCTTCCCCGTGTTTCTTCCACTTTTTGTGCACCTTTCCCCTCCTCCCCCAGGCATATGGAAATCGGAATCCCATCAAATGTAAGCGTGGCTCAAGTTGCCATCGCCATTGCCATCGCCATCGGCTTTTGGTTTTTTTTATGCCTCCCCGTACACGAAATAAAATTAGCTCAATGAGCATTTGTGCAATCAAGTGATTTTTAAACAAGCAAACGAAAGGGGGAGCGGGGTTTTGGGGGGTCGGCTCAACCCCTGGGACTGGGTAGGTATGGGTATGGCGAAAGGGTTGTGTCGGTGATATACGCCACGGATACGGGCGGAACACAAAGCCCAACCTCAACCTCAACCTCAACCCCTTTGGGACGGCGGGCTGTGGCAAATAAATTTCACACATATTTGCACACTCATACGGGGCCGAGAGAGTGTGTTCAATACTTTTTTTTCTCTTTCTCTTTTTATTTATTTTTTTTTCCATTTCATTTTTTCCTCATACACAAGGTCGTGTCGGTTGATTGTAGTGGAAACGAGTGTGACGATGGGGGAGATCCAGTAGGGGAGTTCCCCTGTACAGTAGCTTTCAAAATAATAGTATTAGGACAGCCATTTCCTATACTCACTGTTTGAGCAATATAATAGAGTTAATTATCTGTTTAAACACTTAAGCTAAATCAATTTTATTTGAAAGGGAGTAATTTTTTTAATGTTTGTAATCAATTCAAATGCTTTGTAATGCTATTATTTTAACCTTTGCTGTGCCTTGTAATCGCCTCGGTTCTACATGTATCAGAATTCCTTTCCTCCGCTGCAAATTCGTTTATCGGTGGGCAAACAGAGCACCCCTTCCAATGAAGGAACATGACTCATGACACAGTAGCCCAAAGAAAGGGTTACTACTCTTAAGTCTCAGCTGCGGGTCTTCCGTCATCCGAACCCAAAAGTACAAAAAAAGGAGAAACGAATGAGACCTTTGCATGTAGGACTTCAGTTCGGTGGCGGTTTCTTTTGACGATTAATTTGGTACACAGATCATTGATTAACAATTGGCCATTGATTGGGGGTTGCAGAAAATCGAAATGAAAACAAGGGAAAATCAGGGCAACTTTTGTTCAATAACTATTGATTAGGGTTACAAATAATTAGCTCATTATTTTGAAGGTCTTCTGCTTTGGAATTGATGGATATCTTTTTGTTATTTCGTTTATTTTCTATAAAATTTCCTGCATTAAATTCTGCAAACATTTTCACACAAAAAAATCAATAGACCGATGAATCTACACATAGGGGGCTAAAAATGAATGCGGAAAAAGCTTTAAATTGAAGGTGACTTTAAAATATTTGAAGGTGTCAGAGTTGGGAAATTCAACTGGCGACATTCCGTCGCTCATCATCTTTACCAGCGCCATCGTCACGATGATCATTATCATCATTTGCACAGGTTACATTTTACTTCTTAGGAGCTTATTCCTTCTGCCTGCTTTCTTTTTACATTTTTGTCAATTTACCGCGAACTCGAGTCATTTGCAAGCCGCCTCAGTGTGGTGTGTGCGTGGAAAATTCTTGAGGGTCGGAAAAGTGGGGGCGTAGTGGCAACGGTAGCCGCCTGTCACATTTGCCCCCACACGATTTCCTCCTCCTAACCTCAACACATTCTTATTTATTTCTATTTTTATGTGCATAGCAGGAATAAAAAGTACCTCAAAAAAACGAAAAGTAACAGAAATGCTAGCAACTGAAACCAAAAAAAAAAAAAGGGAAAATAAAATGGCAAAAGGCAAGCAGTTATTCTTGCTGCGCATTTTCACTCCTTCACCCCATTTTCCCGGCGACATTCATTCGCATTCCTTCCAATTGTGTTATAAATTCAAACATGTATACCGCACGTTTGCTTGTGGTTTGAAATTCTATTTTATTTGTATTGTGTAAAATGCTTTCACTTTTTTCCATCCTTGGGTTTCATTCTTGGCTCAATTAAAACATTTTTGCAATGACATTTGTGGGGCTTGACTGGGCTCGGCGGTGGACTGGAAAAGGCCGGACTTTTGTAACCAAAAGCTCACTATTTGGGTTTCTATTTTACCATTCTTTTTCCGGTTGATGCGGCTTAAGGAATATTTTTTTATTACTGAGCATTTTGCTTGTTGCAGTGGGAGCAATTTCGTTGATCTAGTTGTTCGGGGCTTCCAGGTGGAAAATGTACATATAAGAGCACGAGATGGGTAATAACGAATTCGGTTTCAGTGAAATGTATTTTGCTTAGCAAATATGGATGGTTGTTCTAAAGTTTTCGCTACCAAAAAAGCAAACTTTTCCAAAAATAAACTTCAATTAAACAGTTGAAATGCATCCTCAAGTGTAGCAAACTCATTTTGGCTCCAACTGGCCACAATTATCCTTGCTTACTGCAAGAAATCTCAATCAGAAAACGAGAATCCCAGAAATCCGGGGCCAATCTAGAGAAGCAGAGCCAAAATTCCATAGACAAACGGCATCAGAATTTAATTCAATTGCAAATCCCATATCATCCCCACAAAGTTGAGAGAAACATTCAATTATGAATTCTGAGAAAAGCTACAAAAAAAAGCAACACACACACAACAAAATCGAAAAAAGGAAGAGGATGAACTACAGAAAACTGTTTTATTTATCCAACATTTGACTTTGAAATGATGAAAATGCTAAAGCTAAAAGGAAAAGCAGGGGAAAATTTCATTTGGTCGGACATTGTAAGTCACATTTGATGTACAGTGATGCTGTTTGCAATTCCGACTGATTTCTCAGCGTTTTCATCATTGATGTAGTTTCATTTCCGACATTTTCGAGATTTTTCCTCCCACTGTCTGCTTGAAAATGAAATAAATTTTCAAATTAAATTTTTGCTCAGTACTAATATTTTCTCGTATCTTGTTTGTGTTTTCAGGTTCAAAAGGTGGAGCGAAAAGCGTAACTGGAAAGTTTCTTAAAAAATTTCGGTAAGTGGAAAACCATTTCGAGGAAAAGGGTGAGAGAAGTCTTATTTCGGGTGAAATATTTTATCCAGCAGAACCTTTTCCTTCACTGATACTAAACTTATTGGAATTTCGAAAATGATAGCGTTGGCATGAAAGTTTCTTTGTCCCCCTCCCCTGCCCCCGCCCATGTCATCACCCAGATTTTTTATTTTACTTTTATTGTGTTTTATGTCGCAACAAACATACAAAAAAGTCAACCCAAAAAAAAAATCGGCTTAACGCACTAAACAGAGAGGGAAATTTGAAGAGCAACAATCCGAAAGATGCGTATCTTGTTGTGGTCCCCCAAATAATCCCCCCTTCCCGTCATTGCGTCCAGTGTGTGCGTGTGTTTAACTGTCTCTTCATCAGCATCTTCAGCTCAATATTTCTGATATGCATCTCATCGTCTGCCAGTGTGTGTATGTATGTGTGTGTATGTGTGTGGCTTTTTATTGTGATTGGGGGTAAGAGGTTTTCTTTATTTCTCTTTTTTTTTTTTGTACCATGGCTTTTCCGAAAAGATACAAAACGTATCTGCAGCTGGCCGTCGTCCGTTGAGCGTTTTGTTTATGATTTGTCAAGATCTTAGGGCCGGAAAAATGTGTTTTATATTGCCACAGCATTGGTCGATAAGCAGCAACTTTAATACACAGGAAAATGTGGGGAATAGCAAGGAATTGAATTAATTTCCTCCACTTATATAAAAAGTGGGGCAAAGATTACATATTAATTGTTATACAACTGACTCTACTTTCAGTCCCAGCTTTGAAGTTGAAAAAAAAATTGTATTTTTCCTGTATTAATAGTCCTGGCAAGAAAAAGGGTGAGGTTTTCCTAGGCAAACTGTAAATGAACCCACTCCCTTGTACAGTGCTAATAAATTCACCTTTTACCGCAAAATATTGCCCAACATTTGCGAGAGACAAACAGCTCGCTGCCTCCCAATTCTCCGCCCTATATCTTGGCTTTATATATATATATATCTCGCTCTGCTGTGGGCGTAGTGCCAACATAAATCTCTTCAACAATCTGCCATACAGCACCCCCACCTACTTGAGTTTCCCCAGCATTTTCCTGCTCATCTTTCGACTCCTGTTTTCCCGCTTGGCTGTTGATTTTTGTCAACCTAATACAAAAGGCAAACAAAATTTGTGTTGGCATTTGGTTAGATTTGCCTGAGAGGGTGGAAAATGGGTGGGAGAATGGTGGGTGGCGGGCGGATTGGTGAAGTGTAAGCGGCCAGGAAGTGGAGTTGTGGGTCGGAGTTCATGGGCCAAGTGGGCACTGGGGACTCGACTTGATGAAGGAGCCCGGAAATCAAATATTCGATGAGTTGTATGAATTACAGGTGGGTCAAAGGGTGGGTCGCAGGGGGGTGTGGAAGAAATATCGAAGCGATTATCGGGTGTTGAACTGTTGGTAGGTCCCCATTTGAACCCAAGTTACCGAGTTACGCTTCAACTTAACTAAATTTCAGTGCAAATAAACGAGATTGGCGTGGTCTAGGACTACAAATTGCTTAAGAAAACATATCTTAAAATGCAGTTTATGCAAGAAGCCTGCTATTTATGTGATTGGGGTCACCAAGCTATGCTACTTATGTTTAGTACTATCATTCATTATGATACATTGAACTATATTGAAGAATATAAACACATTGAATATTTCTTTGTTACCATTTAAACCGAAATTCTGCCGAAATCTGCACTATACCAATATCTTTTGTTGTTATTAAATTGTTTGCAATATTTTTGCAATTTTTCGTTTCCAATTTTCACACTCATTTGGTGCAAATATTATCCAATATGGGCAGAGCCCCACATGAAGGGAAAGAAAAACAGCTGCGTGAATGCATTTCCCTTTCATTAAGCGTTTTGTTGTTCTTGTTGTTGTTGTTTCGGGTGAAGCTGGTCGAGATTGCTGTTGTTGTTGTTGTTGTTGCTGCTGTTCATGAATTTGTTGTTGCAGCTGCAATTGGCCACCAAGTTGTGGCCCACATTTTGGGTGTTTTTGTATCTGCTCTCGGTCCTGGTCGAAAAAGCTTCCACTTGAGTGATCTCCCCTTTCCATGCCAGCCACGCCTCCTTGTGCTGCCGCCCTCGAAAAGTTTCGTGTATGTATGTTAATTAAAGTCATTACGTGGAGGACGCCACCAAAAGGGAAACAAAAGGCAAAATGGCGAGCGGCTGCAAATAGTACACAGTGGAAAAATATTTTACGTTCTTAGCAATCTATATATTAACATTTTTTGTATGGCTTATTAAGAATTGCAAATGAGTATTGAACATTTGGCTAAGTATTTGTATTTAACGAATAGGGATTTCTAAGTTTTTAAATCAAACGTTATAAAGTACAAAATGTTTCTTGAAAATATTATTAAATATTTTAAAAATGTTGTATTCAAAAAAAAAATATATTATATACACAAAATAGTACAAAAGGGTTAAAACAACTATATTTTGTTTTTTTGAAAGTCTATGTTGCCTAATAAGGGTCTGCCTCATTAGCTGAATTAATTAATAAGTATATGATCAGTTTCCTCTGTGTATATGGTCATCACAGGGGTTGTTGGGGTGCCGGCACACACGCACACACACACACACACACACACTACGCAACAGCAACTACAAAGTGAAGCCAAACGCTGCGCCAAATTGGCCAATTTTCATATGCATGCCAAGCAGCAAAGGCAGGAGCAGAAAAGCAGGAGCAACCGAGCTCAAGGCAACAACACACACACAGGGCCAAAAAGAGGATGAAGGAGGTGGCACAGAGGGGAGGGGGCGGTGCGGGGAAAGTGGCAAGGAAAATCTCCTCTTTGGCATTGACATCAATGAATAATTTTAGTTCGTGGAGCGAAGGGGTAACCGAAGTGGGTGCGTGTGTGTGGCCCAACTGCAGACGCCACGTGTCAGGAGCATTGTTGAACTAACGAAACATGTGAGATGATTGCACGGGGAGAAATTAAACAAGAAAGAAAGCAAATTCGGCAATCCGAAGTTCATATACCCTTGCAGCTATCGCAAGAATTAAATATTTTTGAAAACATTAAAATTATGATTTACTTGCGTATATGTTTAAAAACATTGAAGCTATGACGATTTACAGCTTAATTATTTGATTGTTCTTTTATATATTTTTTTATTTGTATGGGAGCTATATGATATAGTCGTCCGATTTTGATGAAATTTAAATCATAATTCTGAAATATTTAACCATTGCTATATGTCGAAGAACTAAGCAAAAAATTAAAAAACAGCAAAGTTTTAATTTTTTTTCAATTATTTTTCCGATTGTTCCTATGGGAGCTATATGCTATAGTCGTCCGATCCGGCTCGTTCCGTCTTTTTGGGAAAGTTTCATGCAGATAGCTTTAAAACTGAGAGACTAGTTTGCATATAAACGGACGGACAGACGGACAGACGGACGGACAGACGGACATGGCTAGATCGACTCTACTAGTGATGCTGATCAAGAATATATATACTTTATAGGGTCGGAAACGTCTCCTTCACTGCGTTGCAAACTTCTGACTGAAATTATAATACCCTCTGCAAGGGTTTAAAAAGTGTTGTCCTCTTACATAGATGATGTGTTAACAAAACTAGAAGACATCCTATAGATAAATACAAAACATGCTAAATAGATTTATTTAACAAACTGAGAGTCATTACCTGGAGGGTTATAAAAAGGTTATAAAAATATTCGTTCTTGAAAAACTTTAAATAAATTCTAATAGGTGTTATGATTTAGTTATAATTTAAAATTAAAAAAAAGGAATACTGAAGGAAAATTTAAAATATAAAACTGAAATCCTTCTATTCGTTATTAATATTAAGCTCTCATGATTTTGCTAGGAGAGTTTGCTGTTTCCTTTTTCCTTTTTAGTTATTTTATATCCCTCACATAAAGTTTATTTTGTCTTTCAAATCTCGCAAAGACAATGCTATTTCTATTTCGATCAGTTTTCCGTTGTGCATTTGAAAGTGTAGCCCGGGAATCAATGACATTTCTGGCAGTGTAATGGTCCTTTCATCGGCCACTCCAACGACATTGGCATCGTTATCAACCATCCACCATTCAGCATGCACTAATCCACCAATCCACCTTCCATCACCACACACATCATCCGCGTCTGGTGCTCTAATGATGCACAACATGCACAAAATGTGTTAATGGCAAACCAACCGACTGCCGACGAATCATGAGTTCTTCTTTCCTAGCACTCGATCGCCGCCTAATGAGTCCCGCCCTAACCTGTTGCCCTTTTTTTTTCCCAGGGGCCTGGTTGGATTCTCCAAATGAGGGCGTGGCAGGCAAGAAGGGGGGAGGGAAAGGGGCTTGTGTGGGCGGATTGTAGAGCTTGCCTTGAGTTACTTTTGCTTTTCAAATCGATGCTGGCGGTGGCTGCCAGAGTGAAGCAAATTAAATTGCAGCATGAAATCGAATTGCCAGCAGGCAGCTGAGGCATTCAAATGCAGAGTTAGAAGCAGGGAGGAGGTGGTGAAGTTATCCATAAGATACATTCTGGGCCTGGTCTGCTGCAGCTGTGCTACGCCTGATGCTTTTTTGTCGAACGAACAGGAAGACCAGGAAGAAAAGTGGATGAACCCAAGATACGGTAGACTTAAAATTGCTTTTGCTGCCTGCCCCTCTTACCTGGCGAACAAGAAAAAAAAAAAGAAAAAAATAAACGAAAATAGAAAAATAGATGCTGCAAAAAGAGTTCTACAAAGTGTTCGATTAAAATAGATATTTTTATGGCTTTTGCATTCGAAAATTGCATTAGGCAAGTGGTTGGTTTCCCTTCTATGAAGTGGAAGGAAGAATTGTTTTCATTGCCCAGATCGCTCTATAAAGATATCGACACTTTAAATGGCTAAAACCAGTTTCTGTGCTTCCAGAAGTTTAATCAAATAAAATGTTCAAGTTTAAGTTGAAAATATGAATTAAATATGAATATGAAAAAATACAGAGATAATACTTTCAACGCCTGCATTTTATTGTTAAAAGCCTGAAACCCAACGGAGCTCTTTGCTACACTTTGAATCATACATTTTTAAGGATCCCTGCGAGTGCAGCGATTGTTTTATGAAAGCAAAGCGAAGTCTTAATTGAAAAATACATGTCCATATGTTATCCTTTTAATTTCTGTTCGTTTTTTTTTATTGTGACCGAAACAACTCAATCAGGCAAAATCAAAATGTTTCACAGATGCAGCAAATAAACGGGCATATTGTTGTCATTGTTGTAGCCGTTTTATCATGGTTTTTTGCGTCGCATTTGTTGTTACTGTTGTTGGCAACGCCTCGACAAGACCACAAACAACTCGTTAGAATTTGCATGCGCAATGCAATCGGCCAAAACAAAACGATGCCAAATAGGAAATAGCCAAAGCCAAAAAACAGCGAAAAAATCGTAGCAAACAAAGCTAAAGGTGGGAGCGTGAGGGAATTTCAAGTGGTGCGCTTCATGAAACTTGGTGTCTCTAAGCGACTCACTAAGAAAACTCAAACGATTAACCAATTAAATATGGAATCAGCTATGAGGGAGTAATTTAAGTTAATGATTAACTCGTGACACATTTAAAATCACGGGACGAACACATCTCTAAGCCAAACATGGCAAAGCTAACAAAAAAAGGTAAAAACAAAACAGGCACAAACAATTTCGAGCTTTGTTAAGTGGAAAAGAAATGGACATAAAAGCAAGATAGCGTTAGACTTTTCCGGATGGCGTGGGGGAAATAAAAATATCTACGGGGCAATGGAAATTGTGTGTTCTCCTACAACAGCAACAAGGCCGTTTGCCTATATACCAGCGGATGGCTATCAATTTGATATATCAATCAATGTGAGGGCAAAAAAAAAAAAGAAACACGTATAAAAATCCAGCCGAGAGGAAGGGAAATTCATTTGGATTTTGTGGCCCCAGCCCCGCCCACTTTGGGGGCCAAAAAAAGAGGCGGAGAGGCCTTTCAACAAAAGAGTTTGGTGTGAACACTAATAGCCTGAACCTTTTCACATCGAAAACAAGTCAGGAATAATTAGTTGTGTATATTTTTGGATTAAAAAAATCAATCGATTACTTTTGTATTCCGAAATATTTAATATTTATTTAACAAGTTATATTTATTAGCTAGTAATTTATAAATAAAATGCAATATCAATTGACACAATTATCCTTTCAAAATTATGCGAACAGTATTTCTATAACTACAGCATTTCAAAATATACCATTTTATATATGTATGTCTTAACTACAAGATTAATTTTGATGTCTTGTTTTTCTGGTTTTTATAGCTTGAACGCTTTTATTATTTGTTTATGCTGTAAATAAGAACTTTGACGTCTTAATAATACGCACAAAAACAAAGATATAACGAACGCATCCTAAGTCGATATTTGATATGGTTTTATTATTTTCTGGCCGTTAATAGCCGGGCTTTTTGCTGGCCTCCAAATGAAGTTGGCCTTGTCCTAGACTTACAATGTGCATGTGCGCTTATATGTAGCTACATATGATATATAAACGTTCCGGTTTTGTCCGTCTGTTTCTAGGATTATCTTGGACACACGCTGGGGCACTCATAAAGGGCGGCCTGCTCTCTGATTGATTTATGTTTCCCCCCCCCCCCCACCCACTCACCAAAAGGGCGGTGAGGGGGAGGCAAGGGTGGCTCTTGTCACTAGCTATTTTTCCCAACTTCTCCTTGGCCTTCTTCTTCCCGGCTGGCTCATTTCTCCTTTGGCTGTTAATAGCTTTAATGCTGTTTTATGGCATTTCGTGGAGAAAGGGCCACAATGTGCTGGGGTGTGGGCGTAGAAGGGGATAGCGAAGGGTGGGAGGGATTGTACACATTGGGATCTGGAACTGGAAACGCAACCGAAACTGAAACCTGGCATGCCAACGCCAAATGTTTTACATGCGTGCCTTTCCAACACTCTGAAAAAAAAAATATTTCTTAAAATAAAAAATATATATTTCATATATAGCTTACTTATCTAAACGTTAAACGAAAAACAACTCCAAAGTAGGAAGTACTAAGAATACAAAAAACACAGCGTTTATGATTGTTTAGTTTACATATTTAAACTTATTTTTTAAACAAATGTGTAGATTTTCCCTCATTACCTTCTTGCTTTGAAACACACTTCGCTTCATGCGAAAAACCAAAATTACGTACTTTAGGATAATTTAATTTCCATTTATAATATGTAGAGTTTTTAAATGCCTTGAAATTGACTTTTAAATACAATATCGTTTAAATATTTAAAGTTTTGTTATTTTTAAGCAAGTTGTGTGCATTCTAGTTAAGTTATTTCTTTGTTATAAATAAATTACGAATTTTAATTTAATTTGATTTATAAAATTCTGATACTATTCAGATAAATTGTGTACATTGCTGTTTGGTGATTTCCTTAATACCACCTGGCATTTTTTCGGAGTGCATCTTGTCCGCTACTTAGTGTGGCAACAATGTTTGCGCATAAATAAATTCGAATCGACTGCGGGTGCGGGTCTTGGAGCTATGTGGTGCTCATAATTCCAGCTTTTATTTGTGGGATTTTGGCATGGCATGTCAGTCATGCATCTGTGCAACTCGCCTCCCGTACTTTTCGCAGCATTTTTCTTCACCAATCGTGCTCCATCTTCGTCTCACCCTTGACCATTCCTCCACTTTGCACGCTGATTAATGGCTTTCCGTATTCCACAGATGATGCCCGACGACTCCTGTTGCTGCTGAAACCCCGAAGACTTTGCGACGACGAGAAAGCAGCTTCCGGAATAGAATCCTCGAGAGAAACTCCTCCGATCGACTAATATATATTGATTCCATAATGTATCCGGCCAGTGGCAGTGGAGGCAGTGCAGCGACCGCTGCCAAATTTCAGAATCGCTGTGGATCGCCGCAGTTTGCCAGCGAGTATCCGCACCCACATCCGCACCAGCATCCGCACCAGACGACGTCGGTGGCGGTGCACAGTGCTCCGTCGGGAATGGGAATGGGAATGAGCGGAGCTAGCGGTGGTGGTGGTGGTGTTCAGGGTGGAAGTTCCCTGACCAGTGGTGGCTCCATGTCCATGCGCCACGGTCAGCGGGTGGTGGCCTCCGCCTCGCACCAGCATCCCAGCCAGATGACCCTGAATCATGGCGGTCACGGCATCGGCATGGCTCACCATCACGGAGGCATGGGAATGGGTCTGGGATTGGGCCACAACCATGCCACACTGGGCCATCCGCATTCGCACTCGAACAGCAGCCACGTGGGCTCGCACCTGATCTTCCCCGACGACATGGATAGCATCGAGTTCTGCATGCCGGCGGCGCCCTCCTCCTCGTCCGCCTCCTCGCAGAATGGCCTGGGGATCGGGGACCAGCTGCTCATGGGCAGCAGCAGTCACGGCGAAGCGTTCACGGAGCGCCGGAGGAGGGGTCACAGTCGGCGCAGCAACCACAAGATGGACGTCGAGCAGCAGGTGAGTCTCAGGGTCAAAGGGTATTACACTGGTCAACCAAAACGTTGTGAATCCAAGTGTTTCATACTCAATTTAAATATTTTTTTTTCGCTTTTTTTAAGTTATTTGAAATATGGAAGAATTCGAATTTTTTGGAACACATTAGATTTTATTCGTATGAAACTTAAGTTTAATGTACATGTAATGTAATGTATACAATAAAAAACATGTATTTTATGTTATAATTTTGTATTTCATTTAAATATTTTAAAATCAGTACACACTGCTGTTTTTAGGTAATTTAAATATGGAAATATTACAACATTTTTAAAAATTTTATTTGAAAATTTTTGGAATAGCTTTTGATGTTTTAAAACGTAATTTAAAAACAAAAATTACCCATTTGATTTGACCTAATATTTTCTGCAATAATTCAAATATATAACCATGCATATTAATATGCGTTATATTAAACATTATAATATTATATTCAATTTAAATAGGAAATATACAATTTTTGACTAAATATTCATTCAATTACTTTTTTTTTTTAAATATATCATTTGACTATTTTTGGAATATCTCAATACCTAATGTCTAAAAAATTTAATTTAATTTTAAACCATATAAATATAAAATATAATGGATTTAAAAGTAAATAGGACCCATTTTAAATCTAATATTTTCTACAATAATTCAAATATATAATATTAAATAGTACAATTTAAAATGCATTAAACTTATTATTACGGTTTTATGTTTAATTTAAATTTGAAATAGACAATATTGTATTCAATAGCCAGTTTTTTTTTTACCATTCTATTTTTGTTGACAACCTAAAGACCATTTAAACGGTTTATTTATTTAGCCAACAGTGCAATCCCTAACTGGCGGCTTATCTTAGACTTAACTAAAAATTAGCACTAGGAAAATAATAAACTTTTAAAATTTTCATCCTCTTTTCCTCGAAACCAGGTGAAGTGGTCTCGCAAGAACATCGCCGCCACCATGGAACGTTTTGAGCCCACGCCCAACACACAGTCGTCGTCATCCACTTCATCGCTGGACTACGGATTCGCCGCCGGCGTGATGACGCCCAGCAGCAGCAGTGCCACGCCCTCGCACGGCGGTGGCGCCTCCAATCCATCGCTGCACGTGGCCTTCAATGGTGGTGGTGGTGGTGGCGGTGGCGTCGGTGCTGTCGGTGGCTCAGCCTCGGGATCGGGGGCGTGTGGAGCCAGTGGCTCCGGAGCCGCTGCACCGGCGGCGCCCTTCAATCACGTCTATTCGTATGCCTACTACGAACCGGGGGCAGCCAAGTGCCACACGAATGTGCCACCGGCCCAGGGATCGGCTGGCTCCTCCAGTTCGGGATCTGCATCAGGATCGGGATCGGGATCGGGACAAGGGCATGGACATGGCCAGGGACACCAGGGCCACTCGAAGAGTCCGCCGAGGAACTCGATACGCGCCCTGCTGGCCAAGAGTTTCCGCTCGAAGAGCAGCCACACCCATGGAGGCGGTCAGTCCACCTCCAGTTCGCCCAGTGCCGAGGAGCGGGACCGGCACACCTACACCACGCGCTACGGCACCACCGAGAATCTGTACGAGGAGGTTAGCGAGCAGAAGATCCGCAAGGTGCTCTCCGACAATCGGATTGCCAGCGGCTCCTCCAGTGCGGGCAATGTGAAGGAGGAGCAGCGTCGGGTGCAGCACAACCATTTCCGGGTGCTAGACGAGCTGAATCTCTCGCTGGAGGCCCTGATAATGCCGCCCACTCCGCCGGACGTGAGTCCCAGTCACGCTCTGGGCGGCGATGAGCCCAGCACTTCGGTATCGGTATCCGCTGGTGCGGTCGGCGGTTCGGCATCATCCAGTTCGGTGGCCGGACCCTCGAAGACCCTCGCCCAGCGACCCCGACGTGGTGGCCTTCTGGGCGGAGCCGCCGGGGCCGGAGCCACCTCCAACTCGAGCTCCGCCTCGCATGCCAGCCTGGAGAACCTGTCGAGCACATTGAACAGCATGGAGCTCAAGGATCACGGCCACAGCAGTTGCATCAATCCCGAATTCGATGAGGGCGATCTGGACTCTGGTTTCAGTGGCAGCGGCAGCAGCAGCGGAGCCAGTTACAATGAGAGTCTGCGCTACTACAAGTCGGCCACGCCCACTGGGCCGCTGCACCACCACCAGCATAGCCACAATCACAACCACCAGCAGCAGCAGCAGCAGATGCTGCATCACCACAGCCTGAACAACAACACCTTGCCGCACAACCTGCGCAGTTGCCGATCATCTACCGCCTCGGGCACTTCCACCTCGAAGAGCAGCATGGCCAGTTGTGGCGAGGATCAGGGCATCGGCATGACCTTGGCAGTGGGTGGCGTGGGCGTGGGTGGTGGCGGTATGACTTTGCACGAGGCAGCTGGCGCTGTTGGCGTTGGTGGCTCCATTTCGCCCTTTAACTATCCACGCCGCTGTTCAGCGGATCAGCAGCGTGCCTCGGGCAGATCCATGTCCTCCGGTGTGGGCCTTGGACCGGGAGTAGGCGTGGCAGCGGGCGGCATGGGCGGCGGCAGCATGAGCATGAGCAGCAGCAGCAATGTGGCCCTCTCAACCGGAGCGAAACCCAAGAAGAACTTCTGGACCATGAAACCGTGATGCTACAAAAAGGCGCTGCGTCACATTTGCAAGAAATGGACTATTGTTATGGTGAGTACATATTTAAGTTGTCTTGAATACATATATAGTTTATAGAGGGGGAAGCTCAAACTAAGTAACATAATATTTACTAAGCTAATAAAAAATGGTAGGAAATTCAAGTATTTTATTTGAATTTAAATAATTTTCATTTTGATTTTCATGGTTTAATTGGTTTTAACTGGTCAATTTTTGTTTAATATTTAATGTGGTTTGCCGTTTTATACTTTAATGGTCAAATACACATTGTATAATACATTTTAATTTGAAATAGGATTGGCTGTTTGCTGTTTATTAAAGCATAGTGGCTTAAATACATAAATTCTTTTGAAAGGGGGAAGCTTAAACTTAGTAATATTTACTATGTAAACTCGAGTAATTTATTCTGAAATTAAAGATTTTTCATTTTGATTTTCATGGTTTAATTTAATTTAAATGTTCAATTTTTATTTAATTTTTAACATTGAGGTATATACTTAAATCGAATGCTCGTACAAATAGTTCAGATATTTTAATATTAAATCATAAAATACATTGTATTTAAAATTATGATTTTATAAAATATTTTTAATTTGAAACATAATTTACTGTTTGCAGTTTATTATCAGTGCATATATAGTTTATTTAGGAGAAAGCTTAATCTAAATAATAATAAAGACATTTCCTCGAACAGTTTGTCAATCAAAAGTCATTTTCCTCAATCTGCCAAATTCCATTTCTCATTGGAAATCACATACCCACACACAGACAGCATCCACAGTGCTGTGATTGCGATTGTGGTTAACCCCTTTCAATAGTTGATTACTTTTTATGGGCGTTTTGTCATTTAAGATCATCTGCCATGATTATCTCCGTCGCCATCTCGATATTCCCACCCCCACCCCCACGCCCATCCCCAGCACTCAATCCCGATCCCAAACACAACTTCCACTTCCGTCTCTCTCCATCTCATATAGAGTGTAGTATATCCCGACTGCTTTTGGGCATCAATTTCAACTTTTCAACTTTAATCATAATAAATTTGCGGCCCCGTTTTCCAACCACGGCCATGGCCATATAGCTTATACTTTGCTCCATTTCACAATCAACGAGATACTTCCGCTGGAGAGGAAGCAGATCCGAGTGAGATATAGATATGTAGAGGGGGTTGGGGTTGGGGTGCGAGGACTATCCGCATTCCCAAGATAATAAATTTATTAACTGGACGGCCCGACATCATCATTACTCGGGAGAAGCGGGCAAATGATTTCATCCCTTCTCCTCCGCCGAAATGAATCAATTAAAACTGATTGAACTTCATAGATTTCCTCCCCTTATAAAGCACATATTTTTTTTTAATCTTCCTCTGGCCGAAAAATAAGAAAAATTCATTTATAACTGAAACTGGGCTAATCCGGATCGCTCGTCAAATTTTTTTTTTCATTTAAGTGTGGGAAGCGCTTCAGATACTCTACGGATTCTCCGGGGCCACATATGCCCCCATTTTTATACTGGTCACGGGGATTATCCCGAAGAGATGTGGAGGATGGGTAGGAAAATATTACTAAATGGAAGGAAAGGGAGCAAAGTGCCGAACATTAGGGCGCCTGTTGAAATGTTCGCAGACCAAAAGATGCAACCATCTCTCTAACACCCCCTTAAGTCCCCTCATTCCTCTTCTAACCCTCCCCCCTATTTTTTTTTCGGTGTGTGAATAATACCGTTATTCATTGCATTTTGTTATAAATCTGTCAATTTGCACAATTGTGCGTATAAAGCAACTCTTCACTCGAAATAAAAGTATAGTATAAAAATGGGAAAATAAAAAAAATGGGAAAAAAAAATATCAAGAGATTTTAGATAATATAGTTCAGATTGCATCTTTTTTATAGTATTATTTATAACGAAAATTATTTAATTATAACAAGAGTATAAAAATAGAAGAAATAAAAAAACTATTTTTTTAATATGGACATCAAAAGTTTCAGATAATACAGTTCAGATTACAGCGTTCTTATAGTTTTATTTATAACAAAAATTATTTAATTATAACAAGAGATACCGATTTTGGTCTTAAATGTTTTTTTATACATTTTTTTCAGAATAATTGGTTTTATATTACACAGAAAATAAACAAAAATATTGCTGTGGTTAATAATTTCTTAGTTGTTAAAATAGCAAAGATATAATTCGGGTCTCTGATTGCAATTATATAACTTAGATCTCTGAATTTGGGAAAATAAGGTTTCCTAGTATTTTTTCTGAGTGCAAGGATGCTTTATGCTGTATGCAATTCGACAGGGTTCGCAAGGGGATGCAATGAAAGTGCGTCGAGGGGGAGGGTGGTGGCGGTGGAAAAATGGGAAATGGGAAGTGGAAACGGGAAAGTGGGAGGGCAACACACTTCAGCCCTCGAGGGCAGGGTCGCACATGTGTGGCAGCCGCGGGCTGCACGCTCTTCCTGCGCTTCTCGCATTTCAGCGGCGACCATAAAAAATCTGTTGCGAAAAACTTGGAAATGGCTCCGAAGGCAAAACAATTTTTACCCTGTAGTCCTTGGGATATGATGGTTTAATTTTATTTAAAAATGTGTAATCTAATTAAGTTTAAACTTTATTCGGTCTGTATTGGGAGCCCACAGAAATCACTAAAGTTATGAAACTAGGTATAAAAGTCTAGTTATATGAAGTTCCTTGAATTTATTTCAAAAGACAACCTTAATTTGATGATTTGATTACCCTAATGCCAAAGATTGTGTGAGATCCTTTATTGAAGTATATTTCTTAAGTTGTTTTCACCCAAGTCATAACTTTATTTTTTAATATCTTGTATGGCTTCCAAACAAAAACAGGGTATCCAGAGCAACGACTCCTTAAATTATGCAACCGTTTCCTTTGCCGTTCAATGTTGTTGTTCTACTGCGTTGCTGTTGCCCGCGTGTTGATTTATATTCGAAACTGCGCCGAGGCGCAACTAATTTGCCTCGGGTGTTAAGTAGCATGTGAAATAAACGCAACGGGAGAAAGCCAAACACTGGAGGATGTGGAGGGAAAACTGCGCTGGAAAAGCGTTGGGAGGGGGAAATCACTGAAAAGGGATTCAATGCCGTTTGAATGAATGGATGCATGATATGCGAGCGAGTGTGTATGAATGGTCCATTGCCGCTTCATGAATAAGTGACCGAGTGCGAGTGTGTGGATCGGGCAGGAGGTCCCATCTATATATGCTATATATGTGCATATAGTTCTTCTCATTCAATCGCTCCACTCCACTCGACTCCCCACCGCACAGTACATTTCTGCGGAGAGCTTCCGGAGTCATTTGTGAAATCGGCCAAGAATGCGAGCGAGCATTCATTCGGCAACGAATACATTCTGTGCTGGTCCATTCATTCCAAGCCTAGCATTCACCTTGAATTGAGGTTTTTAAAACAGTGTTTTTGGTAATTTATTAAGCCAGTATTCCTTTAAATGGAGTAACATATTAAAGCCATACAATTGGCTTTATTAACCTAACCTAACCCACTCGAAGTAGATATTTTGATACATTTATAATAAAACAACACAATGTTCGAAATATATTTAAATTCCGTATTCTACTTTAAAGGGTTTCCTTTCAAAATGCTTGTGTCTCCATTCAATATAGATGAGTAATAGTAGTTGTAGAATTGACCCTCATGCCACTTTCCCTATCCTATTCATTTATTTAAGACGACTTTGTCGTCGAAGGCATTCATTTTTTGTGGCCATTGAGATGTGAGCATTTTCAGGGTACTCCAGACACAAGTTTGGCTACAAGCCCAGACATCTCATCATCATCATCTATATTAGAATCTCACCCTTGAACCCTGGCTCCTCCCCAATCTCAATCCCAAACCCAATCCCAATCCCAGTCCCAATCCGAAACCCCTTCTCTCACATGTGACCCAAAACTGGTCCTTGGGCAAGTCTATCTGCAAACGATTTGTGCACACTCGTTTTGACAGTCAGTCAGTCAGTTAGTCAGTCAGTCAGTCAGTCAGTCGGTTTCCATTTCCCTCTGTATTTTCTTTTCTACTTTTGGGGGAATAATTGTAACCCTTTCCCGCCCTACAGCGCCATTTCCCATTTCCCTTTGCACCGAGAATCGTTTAAATGTAGCCAACAATAATAAAACATTTTAAACTTGCGCGCCGGCTAATAAAGCAAAGGGAAAAGAGCGAAAAAAAGCGGAAAAGGAACTTGAAATGAAATCAGAGCCACAACGAAATGGGGAAAATGGGTAATGGTGGGTGGGAAGGGGAGGGGAGGGGAAAACGTCTGCTTTTCTGCTCTGGGCAAATATGAAAATGGATCTCGGGAAGGCCAACGACGACGAAGATTGGGGGATTCCGTAGAACCGGACAATGGAGATAAGGAAGGAGCCAAAGGGTTTTGGGGCAGCTCGAGCAGCACATGTGCTAGGAAATCGGGCATAAACATTCACTTAGACATAATAAAAGCCAAGCCGCACACAAAAAATACTCAAATGAACAACGTTTCTATTTAAACAGCAGCGACCAAAGGGGATCGGCAAAGTCGGCAAGTCGGCAAGTCGGGAAGTCGGCAAGTCGGGAATCCTGGGGTCAGGGTTCAGCACTTTGCTCGGGGGCAAACTGGAAATTTGTCAGAAGTTTGGCTGAATGAAAACGTTCCTAGTTGACTTTTCCCGGCGAGATTGCGCCCGACTGATTAAAAATTGAATGATGAAGGCCCCGCAACGATGACGCTCACATCGAAATTGTTAAACTTGCCACGGGTTAAGGGGGTGAGGGTGAGCAGGGAAAATTTAGGGGCAACCAAAAAAAGCCAGCAGGCCTTATTCTTATACAACACTCACTGCACGGAAAGAAAAGAAAAGAAAGCTCAACTTCCAAAGGGAAAATAAATAAAACACTCTTAAGCATGCTGTAGTCAAACAAATTAATTTAATTACTTTAATTAATTATATTGAGTAAAAAATAAAAATGTACAAAACGCCAATTATTTGGTAAATTTGAGTGACATTTTCATTGG